AGAAAGCGTATTTTGTGCGATTAATGAGCTAGTTGCTAATTTTTGTAGAATTTGTTGATATCTTATAGGATATTTATATTGGAATCTTTCTCTGAAGTTTGAACAATTAGCAAGTAGTTCATTTTGAGATCGAGCTAGAATTTTTATTAGTAGGTGTTGAAAAAAATAGGGTTCACTATCATTTAGTTTATAATTAGTAAATCTTAGTAGCAATGGTTTTTTTTATTCAATTATGTATCTATTTTTAAGATCTCTAGCTACATAATATTTCGAGTTTCTTCTCAGTGGTTTGTTTTTTATATTATAGTTTTTAAAGTAATCTGAATATATCATGGTTTCGAATAATTCATTTTTTGGTCTATCAAAATATTTATCAATTGCGTTGTCATAATATAGTTTGTCATTTTCATTATTATCACTATCATCATCAGTATCAATATTATTTTCTTTTGGTTAATTAGTAAATAGATTAATTTCACAGATCGAATTTGAAGTTCAGATAGAGCAGATGGGAGAAATTTTATGGCAGCTGATGATCTTGTTACAGAGTATTGTAGAAATAATATCATAAGTTCTATAGATCCTAATATTCTAGCTTGCACGTGTTTTTTATAGGAGTCTTGTTCCATTATGTCAAAAATTTCTGTTGGCTCAGGTTTAGTAGCATACTTAGTTACATATTTTCTGAATCCAAAAGTAGTTACATATTGAAAATTTATATGACCTTGCTATATTAAGAGAGTTTCGAGGTGGTATGGAACTATCTAGCAGTCAATTTTCCTTGTTCTCTTGTAGGTATATCTTTTGGAGTTAGAGTTACAGTAAGTAATATCAGATAATGGTTAGGGAAACCCTTTTTTACATGGTTTTATATTAGTTCCAGGACCTTCACATTTCTCTTTAACATATTTATATATTTGAAACATGGATACTAATTAAAAAGTAATAGTTCAGTTATTGAATTTAGCATGTCTGCACATATTGTTCTTTTATTAATTAGTTCAGATATTTCAGTTTCTACATAAGCAAATCCATGAGTATATATAGTTCCTCTATTCTGGAACTTGTCTCTTTCAAAGTAATATAATAATTTATTCCATTGTATTATTTTAGAGTTTTTTCAAAGTTTATTGCGTATGTTAGTTAATCTGTTATAGTAATGAAGATAGATATGCAGGGGTCTATTAGTCAGTAATTGGTCTTTGTTATCAGTATTTTCTAAGATTATTTTAAGATGAGTCTATTTGCCCTCGCCCATAGTTAATGTGTAGAAGATTTGTGGTAGGCCATAAGATTGAAGTATCATATTTACTTGATATTGTTTTTTTCTAAAAAATGAATCTGAAGTTCTAATATGTGATGGTAGAGTTGTTGTTAATGATTCGTTAATTATAGGTTTATTAGTATAAGTACTTGCTATTATTAAATCAGCTCTTGTTGGAAGTGAATTTTGTATAATATTTTTTTGATTTATTATTCTGTTGTGATTTTGATAGTTTCATTTTTTTTCTAGATTTAGATATGACCAGTATGGCTAGTACCAATGGAGTCTGAATCTTAGATCAGAACAAAGAAGTTGTAGTTTAATATATTTGCTATAACTATCAATATTTTGTTTAAAATCTAGTAAGTTTTTAGAATCTTCATAGTGATAATGACCAGTAGAAAAAAGATCAGGAAATAATAAAGATTCGATATCTGGGTCATAATTTGGTATAGGTAAGGTTAAATCATTATTTGTTTCTAAAAATTCTGCTATTAGACACTCATATCTGTAATCTTCGTTATGTATTTCATTTGGAAAATCTTTGTTAGGTATTATAAGTGATAGGGGTCTTGTACTTTCTGCGTTAGTAGATGTATTTACTGGTCTTGCTGTAAGAAATGTTTGATGAATATCATTAGAAATCGGAAATTGTAAAGGCATGCAGGCTTGGTTATATTTTTCAAATAGAGGATTATTATTCTTTAACCATTGACTTGCAATTAATAATGAAGGATAAAACCAATTTGAAGATTCTTCATGATTTAGAAAAGCTTCAATAAGACTTGAATGTAATTCGAAGGCATATTTGTTTTTAGAAAGTTTGATTAGGCCTTGTAAATGTCTATAATTTGTGTATAGATTAGATCCAGCAGTACGACCTAATGTACAATTCATGTAAATTGGAGATAAGTATTTTCTATAGACTATAGGTATAGCATTGATTTTATTTGGGATAGAAGAAAGTATCGGCGATTTTTTTCAGATTTACAGAATGAGCAAATAGCAACTTTTTTTTATTTCTATTGTTTATATGGGTTATTATTTCAATATTCTCGAAGGCTATTAGTAATGTATATTCCTCAGAATCATTAAAATTGATCCAGTTTACTGCTTGGTTCATCATTAATATTAAGCAGTATGCACAGGATATTGAGGCATAATCATTTAAAATTGTATTTTGGAATTTATTTAATAATTTTTTAAGTTTATCTAATATTTGCTATAGTTCTTCAATAGTATTTTGAACAGAAAAAGATGAGAAAGTCATAATTATATTTTCAAAAATTTTTTTTTTATTATTGAACGTGTTAAAAATTTAAACTAACAATTTTTTTTTCTTAAATAATAAATTATTTGGTATTTTATATGTTTTTTTTTAATTTATCTATTTGTTTAATATGATTTTTTAGTAATAAAATCATTAATTGTAAGATGTTCATGAATGTTTTAGTCACATAATGTTCTTATAGCTTCTGTTTATTATATTCTTGTAAGTTATGATGATTTGTTTAAATTATTAGGATCACAATGATAAAAGGTATTTGATATATTTAAGTATAGTCTTGTTTTATGCAATAGGTTGTTAATCGGGCACGATTTGTGATATTTTATTTATTCCTTAAAGTTATTTAATTTAGATTATTTGTGAATATTTTTAGTCAGATAGTACATTCGTGGCTTTTTGTTTATTAAATATATGATTGAAAACAAATTGTATAATTATTGTATTGCTAAAACTAAAAAGCTTTTGATAGTAAATATGATTTTTAATCAGACGTGTAATTAATTTTTGCTGATTTTTTTTTTTAATTTGCTCAATTTAAGTGTTAGATTTTATTTATTAAGTTTTATTAATTTAAAATAAACACAGGTTTAACATTATTTTAAAAACACTATAGTATGCATTATTAACACTATAAAAAGATTTTACATAATTAACTATTAACTGATGTATTTTAAAATAAGTTATTTTAAATATATGAATATTTAATTTTATTTTATTCAGAGTAAATATAATAAACTTTATTAATTGATATATTTTAATATTTATGTGTATTATTTATTTATTTATTTTTTTTGTGCAATCTATTAGGCGCGTATTTAAGATTTCAATTAGCAAATTTATTTATATATAAAGAAAAATAGAAGTGTTAGTAGTATTTTATGTAATCATATCAATTTTAATTTTTATAACGTGTTTTTTAAATTCTGAAAACATATCAGAGATATACATTCTTTTCATTAATTAGTTATTCATATTTTGTTAATATTTAATTAACATGATAGTTGATCAATTATATTTGATGTGTTTAGGTATAAATAACATATTTAAGAATAGATAAAATATATAAAATCGTAAACTGTTGAGATATTTATTCAATAAAGTTTATTGTATATTTATTTCACATATTTGTAGTTGTGTTGAATTAGTTATTTAATTTTAAATTAGTATATTTCTTTTTATATTCGTGTTTATATTTTAAGATATATATTGATCTGAATGAGCTAAGAAAGTAGATAATTATTAAAATATAGAACAAAAATAATAAAATTTTTTTAATATTTATAAAAGGTACAATATTAGTAATTATTAATTATTTATTGTTGAATCGATTAGTCAGCTATAAATTAATATATTTTTTTTTAATATTTGCATTTGCGTTTAAGATATATATTTATTTTGTGAATTGAGATGAGCTCAAAGAAATAAGTGAAAATTAGTTTTAAATTTTTTTTTTAATGTTTATATTTTGTGATGTATATTGATTCTGTAAGACGGGATGAGCAGAAAAAAATATAAATGAATATTAAAACTTATCATAAAATGATGAAATTTTTTTTAATATTCACAAGACGTATGATTTTTGTAAGTATAAATTATTTATTTGTTGAGTTGAATTATTCAGCTTTAAATCGGTGTTTTTTTTTAAATATTTATGTTTGTTTGAATTTATATTTTTATCTTGCAGATTAGGATAAGCTCAATGATAGGTTAATGGGTGAATTTAATTAAAATATATAAGTAAATAACAATTATTGATAATTATTATTTTTTTTTTACGCACGCCTATTTTGTTATTATTACGAATCTAGAAGTACGTATAATATTATATACTTAAAAATATGTAATCATTTAAATATTTCTTACACAAATTTCTTCGATTTGTTTTACTTTTATTTTTTTATTTATACAGAACAGATAATGTTTACTGGTTAGATTTGCGTATTTACTTTATTACAGTGACATGTAAATTTATGTAGTAGAAATTCTGAAGATAAATTTAAATTATGTGGTAAATTGTCAGTAAAGGTAAGAAAACGGGCTAAATAACTTGGTGGAATTGCATTTTTAACAAAGTTATAATGAATCAATTATGTATTTGATATAACTTTCAATTAAGAAAAACATCTAAGAAGATTATAAATATTTTCTCGAATTTCTTGATGAATAGCATTGATATTAGCTTGTGCTTGAGATGTATAGAGGAAATTATAACAGTTCCTAAGAATGATTATCTCATCTTCCTCGATGCTCTTCTTAGTGTAATCTTGATAAACTGAATGAAGATATATTGCGAATTGGTTGAGTAGTTGGTAACGTTAGATGTCTGGAATTCGAAATAATGTTGAGTATATAACACGAATAGTAGGAAGTACTTGTGAGCGAAGTATCCAAATAACCCCAAATGAAACAATTTTTTGAAGATTATGATTTTTTATATTTATTATAACAGGAGCATAGATCATTTTTTTTATCATTGTTCTTATTCATAGAACTTTTTTCGATATTTATTTATTTATAATTATACAACAATAATTATATAACAACAAACTAATTTCAGTTTTATTTATATAACTTTTTTTCATTGATTGTTTTTTGGTTTTAAAAATAGGCTTCTTTATTAGTTAATTCTTGTTTTTTATACCTTTGGTTTCGTGTTTGACTTTTTCACATATAAGAGTTAACATAGTTATTAAAAGGTATATATTGTAGATTAACATATTTATTTTATTAAATGTTAAATGATGCTTATTAACAAAATGATGTAAGTATTTATTTTTTCATACATTTGAATTCAATAACTGTATTTTTGGTTAAATAATAATTTGTTAATCACATTTTAAAATTTTTTTATTACAGATAAAAATAGTATTTTTTATAGATCATTAGTATTGTTCTTGATGAGATATAAAAAAAAATCAAAGTATATGTCTTTCTTAATAGGGTTTTTAAAAGAACTCGAAAATATTTTTTGAAAAAAACATAAAATCGAATTTGAATTTTAAACACTAGATGTAATCTGTTTTTTTAATCTAGTCAGGAACATTACTGCAAGAATAATATTTTCACATATAATAGAGTTTATATGATTTATTTTATCACTTTTACGACATCATATATAGAAAGGTAAAATCTCTATTTATTTACATTTGAAATTAATATTTATTTTAATAACGAATACCATACAAGAAAAAAAAAAAACAGAAAAACAATAAATTCAAAATAACATTGCTAAAAATATGCAATAATATTTAAGTTTCTTCAGATGTTTGGTTTTTCTTTGTACTTCTCAATGCTAATTTTAATTTGGTGACTCTCAAATCATTGCTTTTTTTCAGAGATATTTTTTGAGATTTACTTGATTCTGAATTAGTACTTTCAATCTCAATTTGAGTTTTATCAGTGTCAATATTCATAGCAAAAAAGTCATCCTTGAATTGGCCTAATTTTTCATTTTGATTAACTTTGATTATTTCTTTTTGTTTTTTTTTCTTAGATGATTTTTTGTTTCAATATTGGTCTTCAAAGTTTAGCAAATCTTGATTCTGCTTTTTTTTGTTGTTATTAAGTTCTCTTGTTTATTAGTTACACTTCCTGAGTACACATAATTCTATTCGATATCTGATATCAGTATTTGCATCATATTATTTCCTTTATATAATTCACCATAAACAGATATAACTGCTTTCGACTCTATTGCTTTTGCAACTTCAGAGTGTCTGGAATTCCCAGCATTATAAGAACATGTGACTTCTGATATTAAGTAATTCGAAGTTAAAAGATTATAACTCCTATGTTCCAAGGTAAAATAAGAGGGTCCACCTTCATTAATGTTCAAAAACTTGCATGGTGCTGAGTAATTTCCAAATGGTGGACATGTCAGAAGATCATATATCGATAGGTTAGTTTCAATCGTTTTTAACTCCAGAGATATAGCTTGAAGGATGGTAACCTTAATTTAATTTTTTTTTTATAGTTTTAATAATTTCTTTTATTTTGGTCATTTAAATAATAAAGAAATTTTTTTTATTCAAAAAAAAAAAAAGAAAATATGAAGTAACACTCACGTTTAGTTCAGAATTTTCTAAAATAAATCTTCTAATAATTAATATAATAGTATTTTTTTCAATTTTATTGATTATATGTTTGTTATCTGCTGAAGTAAATGCTTTATATTTATAACGTACAAATTCATTGTGTTTACTTCTAAGTGTTGCGATTCCAGTTAACGAAGTATTACCATTCATAGTTTCAATAAACGAAATAGCAGCAAAAACTGATGATATTTTTTCTTTTTTTTTTTTTTTTTACAAAGTAAATTTTAAGATTAAAAAAGCAGTCAAAGTTAACAAAATTAGCACTGTATTATATACTAATCAATATTTATTTATTTTTATTATATTTTTTATTTAATAGTTATTAATAGTTAATAGTTAAAATATAGTGAATAATTTTTTGGCTTTTCCAAGATTTATTTTACTTTTGCGTTATATATTTTGATAGTTTCTTTTTTTATTTATAATTCTGCTTTTCAAATTTATGTATTTACGAGTATTTTTTTTATTCTTTCTTTTTCTGCATAGTATATCTCAATGTTTTTTTTCTTACTCATGATTATGTTTTAAAATTTTATACATTCACACGAATTTTTAATTTTAATTTTATTTTTTATTTTTTATTTTACAATTATTAGTTTATATCACTATAGATTATATATGAGAAAATAATAATATTTGAATTAAAAATTCATTTTTCCAAGAGATGTTTAAAAAATTATGTTAATTACCAAATATTAAAAAAATTTTCCCAACATATAAATTTTTATATTTATTAATACAGTATTTAATAACAAACCTGTTTAATATTACATATTACATTTATTAGTAACATGTATTTTCTTTATTAATCTATAATAATATTTAATATTTTTCTTAAATAGTAAGCTGATTGTTCTTGTTATGTTGTTATTTCATTTTCCTAAAACAGTAAACTGATCATTTCTCATTAAATTATTATTATTCTTAAACAGTAAACTGATTATTTCTTGTTATATTTATTAATTAATTAACTGTAAACGTAATCTGAATCACACATTTATCCTAGTTTTTTCTGAATTTACTTTTTTCATATAATACACATACCTTAAATTTGAATCTTTTATTTTATTTTATTTTTTTTTCGTTACAATTCTTTATTGTAGTCTTCGATGATCAATGATTATCATTTAATCAGATCATAAAAAAATCTGATGAAAAAAAAATTAAATTTGAATTATTCGTTGAACTGATATATAAATTTAAATTTAACTTTTAAAAAATTCTCAAAAAAAGAGCAAATTATAACAATATTGTTACTCTTACCTACTTTCAAAATTTTCATGATAGTGCTTATACTCATGCTCATACTCATGCTCGATTGATCGCTCGATTCGATCAATCGATCAATCGTGCTGTTTTACACAAAACATTTTATTTTCTGTGTAACCAATCTAAACTGCATTTAGAAAAACACATTACTAATCGCACTCGAAAAAGTTCTAATTAGGTTTATTAGTCCAAATAAATCAATATTAATTCAAAACAATTTTAAAACTGTATCACAAATTATGTGAAATCTTTTTATAGTGTTAAAGATCATATAATTAGTAAATGTTTATAAACATGAATTGTAGATTTTAAATCTAAAGATTAATAAATGATCTTCATACTCACTAAATTATGTTAAAATAAAAAGGTTATTTAATGAATTGCTAAATTAAGTAACTTGATAATTAATCATAAAACTTATTCTCTAAAAGATTAAATAGTTTTGAGAATATTTAGGTTTCTAATTTAAGATAAATAATTTAATAACAACTAGCCTACTTCAAAATCTATTAGAGTATTTATTCCAAATTAAATTCCACGCTAATTCCATATCTGTAACAAATAGTAGTTTTAAAAATTCTATTAGAATTACCTGCCTAAGCTGATTTCTGATAATACGTATTGTAAGACCCGAAAAGTAGTTAAGTTGGGTCCGAAGTAGCATAACATGACCTGAGGTCATGGGAGTAGAGTTACTTAAATTATATTTGTACATAAATCACATAAATTACTAAAACAAAGTAATTTATACAGCGAGTTAGTTGCTCAGCTATGGAAAACTCTACACAACTCACAAATGGCTTATCGAAAGAGGGTGTTTAGATTTGAATGGTGATTAGGACTCGTGAGTAAGTGATTGTCTTTAATTTCTTAGTGGTTGAGTCTTAAAAGCTTGAATACCATAGTTTGTCAGGTATTCAGATATATGAAACCACAGTTACCTCAGTTCGTTGAGTAACTAGAACTGAAATAAAATAACTACAACCAACCACAATACATCAGGCTAGTTGAAAACAAATAAAATAAACACAACTAATCTCA